TGTGCTGGTTTTGTTGTGTGACTGGGATGGCCTGTGGCTGGCCTCACTAAGGTCAGACAAGTCAGGGGGTAGGATGGACTGTGCCAGGCATTACAACACCTTATACTTTTGCCCAAAGCATTCTGCCATTGACCTGGAATTCATGATGGGATGGTTTAAGTCATGGGTCTCTTGCAACAAGTGCTGCTCAGTGTGTAATGGAGCTCTCACTTTCTGGCCAAAATCAAGTCAAGACACCTCTCACCTCTCCTGGCTGAATGAACCAACCAACCATCTCAGCACCCTTCCCAGCAGGACCAATTTAATTAAACCCTCTCACATTCCCCCTGGCTGAGCCAGGTCCATTTAACACTCTCACCTCCCCCCAGCCGAACAATCAATCAAGCCTCGTCACCCTTCCCGGACGAGCCAATAACGCCGGCTCTCGCCGCGCTCCCCCGCAGGAGTTCTGGCTGCAGCTGGGCGCGCTGGGCCTGTTCGGCATCACGGCCGACCCGGAGTTCGGCGGCTCGGGTCTGGGCCTGCTGGACCAGTGCCTGGTCATGGAGGAGATGTCGCGGGTGTCGGCCGGCGTGGCGCTCAGCTACGGCGCCCAGTCCAACCTCTGCATCAACCAGATCAACCGGCACGGCTCGCGGCGGCAGAAGGAGAGGCTCCTGCCCAGGGTGGTGGCGGCGGACGCCGGCTCGCGGCGGCAGAAGGAGAGGCTCCTGCCCGGGGTGGGTGGTGGCGGGCGCGGACTCAGTTGGCGGAAGGAGGCTCCTGCCCAGGGTGGGTGGCGGCGGACGCCGGCTCGCGGCGGCAGAAGGAGAGCCTCTGCCCGGGGTGGATGGCGGGGACGTGGGCTCTGTCGGCAGAAGGAGAGCCTCCTGCCCAGGGTGGGTGGCGGGGACGCGGCTCGTGGCGGCAGAAGGAGAGGCTCCTGCCCGGGGTGGGTGGCGGCGGGGCGCGGACTCAGTTGGCGGAAGGAGAGCCTCCTGCCCAGGGTGGGTGGCGGCGGACGCCGGCTCGCGGCGGCAGAGGAGAGGTCCTGCCGGGGTGGGTGGTGGCGGGCGCGGACTCTGTTGCGAAGGAGAGCCTCCTGCCCAGGGTGGGTGGCGGCGGACGCCGGCTCGTGGCGGCAGAAGAAGGAGAGCCTCCTGCCCGGGGTGGATGGCGGCGGACGGGGCCCGTCGGCTGAAGGGCCGTGCGAGAGGGCAGGTGCTTTTCTGGTGTGGGGGTTCGCGTGATATAAACTTGTGATACATTACTTTGGGGAGTTTGGTTCCTTATGTTTTCTCTATGTTCAGGTTATATGGTATGGTTATTCAGAAACTCATATACAGTGCAAATAAATTTGGCTTGATCAGCAAGTACTGTCGAGAAACGGCATCAAATACCTGCAAGCGAGCCCTAGGACGTTCATTATGGATGTTGGTTACCTTGACGCTTCATCCGTCTCCCCCCCCCCGGCCTATGCTATAACACTTTTTAAGCCACCTAGGTTGTCACATAGATGGCCCCCATATGAACATCGTAGTCGATGCGCCCGAAGCTTAAATCATATCAGGTTGTCGCATAGCGCTCAGATCCACTACGGCCTGGGGGGAGCCACCTCTTTGTAGCTCTGCACTGGGGATTGACCACCACACCACTCCCTCAGCTCTGCATCAGGGAGTTAACCACCGTCACACACTCCTCAGCTCTGCACGGGGAGTTGGTCGGGAGGTCTCGCCATGTCGGAGGCTGGCAGTGGCTCCGACGTAGTCTCCATGGCAACGCGGGCCGAGCGGGTCGACGGCGGCTACCTCCTGAACGGCAGCAAGTTCTGGATCACCAACGGGCCCGTGGCGGACGTGCTGGTGGTGAGGGCGGGCGCGGGCGTGGTTCCGGTGTGGTGCTTTGGTGATCAGGTGTGGTGTGCGGTCGGGCTTGCGGCGTTTTGGTGGGAAGGGGAATGGTAAATGTTTTTGTCCATCTATTGGTGCTGGCATGAATAGTGAGCCTCAAAACACCCTTGCCACTGATTTTGTGCGTGTTTTGTGTAAGCTTGTCATGTTGTTTTAGAAATTCCCCCTGCTAGCAATGGCTTGTGGTGCATTTTTGTGCGTGCATGTATAGTACAAAAAATGGATGTGATGTGGTATTCTTGCATATATGTTATATATAGATATATTATATATATATATGATATATATATATATATATATATATATATATATATTATATAATATATATACATACCTTGCTTGCGTGCGTGCGTGCGTGCGTCGTGGCGTGCGTGCGTGAGTGCGTGCGTGCGTGCGTGGTGCGTGAGTGCGTGCGGCGTGTGTGTGTGTGTGTGTGCGTGCGTGCGTGCGTGCGTGCGGCGTGCGTGCGTGCGTGCGTGCGTGCGTGCGTGCGGTGTGTGTGTGTGTGTGTGTGGTGTGTGTGTGTGTGTGTGTGGTGTGATGTGTGTGTGTGTGTGTGTGTGGTGTGTGTGTGTGTG